ATTGAGTGCAGTGTGCAAAGGCACCTGTGGGCATCTGGCTGGGCAGGCGTGTGATGGCACCTGGGGACAGTGGAAGGTGTCCAGAGAGGTGCACAGGTGGGCGTGGCCTGTGATGGTCAATCAGCTACATTTTTAATGCAAATTCAATGCTCTTCAGTTCTTCAATTCTTTAGAGGAAAAAAAGAGATGTTCTTTTAAAAAACCAGATGCCAGGGGCGCCTGAGTGGCTCAGTCGTTAAGCGTCTGCCTTCGGCTCAGGTCATGATCCCAGGGTTCTGGGATCGAGCCCCACATCGGGCTCCCTGCTCCATGGGAAGCCTGCTTCTCCCTCTCCCACTCCCTCTGCTTGTGTTCCCTCTTTCACTGTGTCTCTCTCTGTCAAATAAATAAATAAAATCTTTAAAAAAAAAAAACCAGATGCCAAGTTGCTATCTTAAGATTTACCTCTTAGACAGTGATACTCAACTTCTTTTCCCTAGTCAATCACTGAGCAAGGAAATAGAAATTAAAATAAGGAAAATATATTTAGCTCTAATTTGTAATATAACGTTACTACCAATTCTCTTTAAATTGTGTATCTAGAAACACTAACACATTTTTAAAATCTGGTAAATGTAAATCATAAAATTATTAAATCTGTGCACTTACAAATTTAAGTGCTTATAATTAGAATTTAAATTTTTATTTAAAAAGTAAAATTTTTACTTAGAATATTTAGTTGGAAGCCAGAAACTAATCAGTCCAAAAATGTAAAACTTGCTTTTTGTTTAAAATATTGTGAATAAAATATATGCCAAGATACATAAAATTTGTTATAAAATTTTTCTTTTATTACATCCTTCTGGAAATAAATTAACCAAAACTTTAAAAAAAAGTAACAATTTTCCTTCTTTCCTGCCAATACTTTCCACCTTTAACACATAATCCTGTCAATTAGTACTCTCTTACCATGGGCAAACTAAAAACTACAATACTGATGTTACTAAAAATGAGAATTCAGATTTTTTGAAGTCATAAGATAAATATATTGGAAGGAAAACTACTAGAATTTCAAACAATAAAATAAAATCCGTGTGTTGCCTTTAAAAGGGGGCCAGGATTGTCTTTGGAAAAAAAATCTGTATTTGAATGACAGTAAAAGTCATAAAACAGATGATAAAGACATAGGAAATGAGAATTCGTTAACTCCCGATTTAAACATTGTGAAAAAATGTTTAGTTAACTGTGTGGAGTCAGAATTTTACTCATTTACTTCCATATAACTGAGTATCTTTAGTAATGAAAGTTAGATGGAAGCCTTTTACTTTCTAGCTGAAGGGCAGGTTGTAAAGAAACATTTAATTCCTTTTGACTTTCTTGTAAAGAAAAAAGAAAGCCACATCATAAAGGTGGGGGAAAGGGTCATAATATTTTATAACAGGATGCAAGAGACTCTGCAAACAGAAGAAAATATAAGCAAAACCCAGCAAGACTGTTTCCTCCTTCAATCATGGGGAACACAACCCTATCAATCACTTGTCATATTGGATCACAATAGTAATGGTCGATTTTATGGCTTAGGTTTCCCCCAACACTGCACACTAATCTCCCCATAACACCATTTAATTGTTTCAAGCTGAGGGCCAGAAGCTTTCATTTCTAAAGTCCAGTGGTTCTTTCATTTTCTGGTCACCAGAATCTGTGTGTATGTACCTGCTTGATATATCCTATCATGAGAGGAAGACTTATCTTTAGTGAAATGGGGGAAACAATCTTTTCTGCACTTAATATAAAAGGTTAGCTTTTTATTTGTATTAGAAGCATTAACACATAGGCACAAAATTAGTACTGAACCGTGAAGCTTGTCAAAATGGCTTTTTATGTTTTCAGAATTAACTCTATGCAATTTTGTTTAGTTTAGGCATAAAAGCTATTTAGAATCCCATTCATGCCAGAAGACTGATTTTGTAAAAGGTAGATTTATTTTTCTATTTTAGAGATTACATTTATTCATTTTAAAATATTTTACACAAAGGCTGCTAAGTTTGGAATTCAGACCTTCCTTTTAGTTTTTTTTTCTTCCTGGCTAATGTAATTCTTCTTGCCTATTCCCCCAGTTATCAGAGAAGCATTTTGATAATTCATAATAACCTATACAAATACAATAGTGCCTACTGGACAAAAATTGTCTCATTAAAGAGAAAAATGAATAAAACTCATGTTATCACCATGTGACTTTTAAAATCAGACTTTCGGAATTCCTGTTAGTGTTGTTTTCATCACTAAAAACTAAACTAAGAAAAAAAATCACAGTATCATTTATGCTTCATTTCTTTAAATAATGCACACTAGAATAAACACCCAATCATTGATATGTGCTATAGAAATGGTCACCTGAAAAGAAAGGATATCTTTAAGAACAGCTCATATTCAGATCATATATGTTTTGTAAATGCATACCAAAAGCAGCTTAACATTCTTACTCTAGTTTAAAAAAAAACTGTACTATCTTTTTCAATGGTGGAGTTTTTAGTTTTAGAAGGTTTGGAAAGAAATGAAGAAGTATGAAGAAATATTCTAAATATTCCTTGAGCATATAAAACTGGCCAATTTCAAAGATGGATACATTTGTGCCTGGAAACTCTGTTCTCTGACATTTTTTTTTTTTGATTATTCATTTTCTAGAATTCCTTGGACTTGTAATTCAAACTTTTAAAAAACAAACCAGTAATAAAACTGAATGTAACTGCCCAGACAACACATGCAGCAACACCAGGGAAACACAAAGAACAAGTTTTCCATTGGAGATGTTTTAATTCACATTCCCTTTAATTTAATATTGAATTTGTCATCTTTCCACAAACACATTATTATTCAAGGGATTTTTCCACAGCTATTTTTTTCTTTTGGAGAAAACATTTATGATTAATTCATATAAAACCAATCTAAGTTTGAACTGCTGCTTCAATTGGCAAATTATTCTAAATGATCAGGATAAGAAGGTAGAACATTAGAGAGTGAGACCAAAACATCAAACCAAAGGGCTCTTTGTATCCTAAAAAGGTAAATGGACACATATTTTCTGTTAACTTAGCCAGGGACTATTTCCACTTGCTTATTATATGGAATGACTTGACATTATACATCAGGAGAGACAGAAAAGGTCAACAGTTAAAAGGATAGATTATTGATGGGACCAGTGAATAAACTGTTTCTCAGTAAAGAATGTAAAAGTAGCAAAAGCAGTTAAAAATTGAAAGCTAGTCAGAAAAAAACTGGAGAATTAAATAATCAGGATGAAACTAGGATACACTGGCGGGAAAAAAAAAAAAACAAAACAACTTACACTGGGAAGCTAATAAGTACCTGACAATATACTCGAAATTTTATACATGCTCTTTCATTTAATCCTTACAACAAGAAGTGAGGTACTATTCACATAAGAACTGAGGCTCAAAGAAGTGGCTTGCTCAAGGCCACAAAGCCAAGTGATAGACCTTGTATTCCAACCCAGATCGGATTTCAAAGTTTAACTACTCTATACTGTCTCTAGCTAGCTTCCATTTCTCAGGGGGTAAAGGAAGCAAATAAAGTATAAAATACCTTTCAGGGTTAAATCAAATAGAATTTCTTATAATTTTAAGTGATAACCCTTGTGAAAAGAAATAACTCTGCTGTCTTTCTCTCCCTCCCTCTGAATAAAGCTGGGGAAAAGATTGCAATTAGGCCAAAAGTGAAAAGCAAGCGGCTAGAAAATGTATCATGACAAAAAGGAGCCAATATTAGATGCATTTTATCCCATTCTCAGAGAGTTTAGAACAAGAGGACAAATTAAATTAAGGTTTGAATAGGTAACATAGTGACATGGTTCAAAAATCAAAATAATACTAAATACCAAAATACCAAAAATGATCTCATCCTTACCCTTGCCTCCATCCATCTCTCTCCTCTTCTCCCATCAAGGTAACCACTTTTATTTAGTTCCATGTGTAGCCTTCTAGAATTTCTTTATACAATTATTAATGTGCTTATTTTTCCCCCTTTATTACACATATTGTAGACACGGATTTGTACTTTGCTTTTCTCACTAACATTATGAGAAAATTTAACAGTAAATTACATAAAAGCCCTTTAGGGAATGGAATGATTTTCAAATATGACCAAATAAATACTGACAAGTAGCATTGTTCTAGTACTGAAATTGAACAGAATACTACTAAATTACAGGCTTCAAAATAAAAAAAGTTCATTTCTTTTAACCCCAAATCATCATTTCACCTATCTAGCATTCAGCTATTAACGATTTGGAAATTTTTGAGTATGTTTTAATATAATGGCTTTTCTCTTTCTTCTATATTTCCTCAAGTGACAAACATGTGTAAGTAACTTTTTGCCTTAGTCAAAGCCTTTTTCTTTGGGCCTAGAAGTTAGCATTCCTATTGTAAGAGGATTTTCCAAACATAGTTTCAAATCCTAAGAAGTCTTTGAATACTGAACCTCAAGCATGAAGATACTACTGAATGTAGAGGAACCAGGGAATAGAAAGGTACTAATTTATTGCAGCGAGTCCAATTTTAGAAACTCAAACTATCTAAAAGGTAGAAAAATGTCTGACCAAACATTTGATTCTTTCGATGTATAACAAATCATACTGCAGGACACTTTAAAAATAATAGAGTGATACAAAGTCAAACAATGATAACTTTGTTAACTCTAAAGACATTGGGATTACGGACCTAAATGAAAACAATTATAGCTACTAGTGCTGAGAATAAAGGGCAAAACTGGAAAAACTGAACAGATAAGCAAATAATGGCTGGCATTAATGTACAATGAGCAAGATAACTGGTCATAGGCTGGTAGTCATGGTGACAGCTTTCAGTCATTAATGACACAGCTTCCAAGTACCCTGGCTTCTTGTTACCATCATTACCGGGGAGCCAAAGCATTTGTCATAATACTGAATAAGCTATAAAACAATGCTTTTAGAATTGAAAAGTTCAAAGCAAACTCTCACTTACCTTCCCTGTTAGAACTGAGGGAAATTCAGTATCAAACTTGTTGCTCAAGCCAAACCTTAAAAACAAAGAACAAAATATATTCTACCCAGCATATTTAACTCTTTACCCCTTCCCTTTTTAAGTAACAAAGCCATGCATTTTTCATTTGATGTTGTGATTTAAAAATGTGTCCTAAAAATAATTTTATGATATTTACAGAAAACAAATCTTTGACTATTAATCTGAATTAATAGTAAAAGAAACTTATGGTGCAAATGTTAAAGTAGTATTCTAATTACATCCATGCATGATATGGGATTAAATAATAACAAATTAGAGTTGGAAATAAGATTTTTGACTGAAATGTTTCTGTTAAAACCCATTTTAGTTGATAACTATTAGAACTGGCTAATTGGTAATATGTAGGAGTGGATAATATTATTCTTTCTACTTTTATGTATATATGAAAATTTTTCTAATAAAAAACTAATATAACCTTTGGAGCTGTAGTTCAAAAACTTATGATCAGTTAGTATTCAGATACTCAAAGTTTGATCTTTATGAATGGCTTTCACGTATATGCTCAATTTGTTTTCAGAAAACAGGTCTCAGCCTTGAAAGCTCTGACTCAAGTAAGCTCACTGAAATCTGTTTTCAGAAGTCAAGATGAATTTTATGAGCCTTCATTCACCTACTTGTTGGTTTCAGTAGGGATAACAAAGGTCACTTCCTGCATCTTAGATGATATATCATAGTGACTATAATTTTATAGTATAGCATAGTATAGTATAGTAGATGATGGGTTGTAAGCAAAAATGAAGAAAAAAAAAAACAGGAATGTTTATTGAGAACTCCTGGTGAGGTAGGCAATAATAGTAACAGCTACCAGTAAATATTCACTTACCATGAGTTAGACACTGTGCTAGATAAAATGTTACTTCTAAAGTTTACAACCCTACAGGAGTGGTATTGTCATCCCCCTCTTAAAAGATAAGGAAACTGACCCTCAGAAAATTTTTTTTTCGAAAGGTAATTAAGTGAGTTGCCCTAAGTCATATATCTAGTAAGGTGGGGAGGACCAAAATTCCAAATGCTGATCCCTAAGTTCTTTCTGTCCTGTATTGAGCTTTTTGAAAACAGAAACTATGCCTTATTTATTTTGTTATCTTTTTGTTTAGTAGCATAATGTAATCTAGTAGGTATTTAATAAAAGTTTGTTGAATAATAAGCTACAATACTGTTTGATTTGACTGACTTATGGTCCTTTGGTCTTATGGTCACATTAAAGATATGTTGAGAATCTAATGTCCTATTAAAACTATGTGGGAATAGCATATTCTCCTTGTATCATTTATGCTATAATAGCTCCTTTTCTGGGACACAAGCCCATCTTAAACATAAAAAGTCTCTATACTTAGCAGCTAAGTATACTATACTTTGTGTATTTAAAATGTATTTTAAAACAACAAATTCTATGTTTTAAAATAGTTGAGACAATTAATTAGCAACCATAAAAAGACCTTAACTTCATTAAAAAATACTTAATTACTTCTCCAGGTATTAGTATATGTAATGAGAACATAATATTCTCATAATCATGTTCCCCATAGACACAGGATATAGCCAAACTGGAAAATAAGATAGTATACCCCTGTACATGAATTTTTATGGCAAATTTCATGTGCTGTTTGAGAAACTGACACTCCAGTATTAAATAATATTTGCAACTATGTACTAACTCAGCAATCAACAACATGACCAATATATAACACAGCAAGAAACATTCTTCATTTAAGTTATATGTAGCTAAATAGTGACCTCATCACTAGTCAAAAAGATGCAATTTAATTCATTATTCCACAAAGAGTAAATTCTTACTGTGTAACACAGAAATAAATACGGGTTTCATTTTTAAAAGGAAACATTATACACTTTAAAGTAGAGTTATATTTCCATATCTTGTCTAAACACCTTTTAGATGCAATGTCAATAACATGTTCCTGATTTAGAGTCTGGGAAGATGGCAGAGTAGGAGGATCCTAAGCCCACTTCATTCCACAGATACACCCAAGACAACAGCCATATCAGCGCAACGAACTAAGAAAACCACCCAAAGACTGGCACAACAGACTTTCCAGTTAATTGAAGAGAAGAGGCCACACTGAAAAGGGTAGGAATGGTGGAAACATGGTCAGGTATCAAGCTCCTGGTGAAACTAACCACAAATGGAAGGGACATCACAAGCACTGAGAAGGGAGAGGAGCAGACTCCCACCAAACACCCCCCACACAGGAATGTGCACTTGGAAGACAAGTCCCCAAAGTATTTGGCTTTGAAATGCAGTGGGGCTTAACTCTGGGTACTTTAAAAATCAGCAGGCTTTTGAGGCACCTGGCTTTTGAGATGAGCAGGCTCATCTGTTAAGAGTCCACCTCTTGATTTCAGCTCAGGTCATGATCTCAGGGTTGAAAGATTGAGTCCCACATTGGGCTCCATGCTCAGCATGGAACCTGCTTAAGTTCGCCCTCTCCCTCTGCCTCTGCCCCTCCCCTGCTCTCTCTCTCTCTCTCAAAAAAAATAAATTTAAAAAAATCAGCAGGCTTAGCTCTGGGAGAGCCAGAGGGCAATAGGAAACTGAGCCCTTAAAGAGACAGTATAACAAACAACCCTGCTGAGATAAAGAAGTTTGAAAAGCACCTGGGTATACAGAAAGGAGATTTATTTACTAATCTCAGAATGTGTGCTAGAGGGGCAGGGATCTTTAGGAGACTTCTTCAAGAACAAAAGAGCTGGTGGGTACCGTCCCCACCTCCACCCTATCCCCAGCCCAGATACCAGGACACCTGCAGGAACCAGTGAGAACACTCTCCACCTACCTTGCTAACACCACACACCCTGCCTCTGTGTTCTCCTGTGGATCTACCCCATCCAACCTACCCCACTAGGCACACATCTGTCCAAAGCAGCTCCTGGCACATTTTATCCTGCAAGCAGCCCTGGCAAGGACCAGCACCACTCCAAAATGACTCCTGCCTGAGGAGAGGGGAAGATAAACCACACACCAGTTCAACTGCAGCCCCAGCAGCCAAACCTTATAACTGGCAGGAAAGAGAGAGTACCCTGTTGATCAGTACCTCTGCAGCCCCAGCAGATGAGCTGGGGGTAAGCATCTGATCTGCTGGCCCCGCCCACTGACAAAAACCTCTCAGGTTTACAGAGAGCCCTGTAGTTTGGGGTCACTGCAGCCCCAACACATGGACTAGAATAGGCATTTGGTTTGAATGCAGGCCCCACCTACCAACAAAAGTCTCTCCAGGGATAACACAGGGAGAGTGCCCTGGAGTTTGGTGTGACCACAATACCAGCAAACAAGCAGAGGGCAGACATCTAGTCTGACTGTTGATACCCCCCAACTATCAGCCCAGAGTAGCTCCAGACTAGCCCCTTAACAGCACAGAGACCAAACCCTGCCCAGTGCACACACAACAGGCAAAATGGGCCATTGTGGCCAAGTGGACTGAAGGCAAATGCTGCCCACCCAGCCACAACAGTAGGGCACACACAACCCACACAGGAGACACCCCTGAAATATCTGGTTCTGGTGAACAGGGGACATTGTGCTACAAGGCACAACAGGACCTCTTCTTCATAAGGCCACTACCTTCAAGATCAGGAGACGTAACTAACTTTCCTAATGCATAGAAACAAACACAGAGAGACAAAATGAAGAACCAGAGGAATATGTCCCAAGTGAAAGAACAGGACAAAACCACAGCAAAATAGCTAAATGAAAGGAGATAAGCAATAAGCCTGATAAACAATTCAATGTAATGGCTATAAAAATATTTACTGGACTTGAGAAAAGAGTGGAGGGTCTCAGTGAGATCTTCAACAAAGAGATAGAAAATATAGAAAAGAACCAATCAGAAATGAAAAACTCAATAACTGAAATAAAAATACACTAGAGGAAATCAACAGCAGATCAGAGGCAGGAGAATTTATCATCTACCTAGAAGACAGAATAATGGAAAGCAACCAAGCTGGACAGCAAAAAGAAAAAAAAAATTAAAACTGACAGTAGATTAAGAGAACTCAGTGACATCATCTAGTATAATAACATTCATATTATAGGGATCCCAAAAGGAGAAGAGAGAGAAAAGGGAGCAGAAAATTTATTTGAAGAAATAAGCTGAAAACTTCCTTCATCTGGGGAAGGAAACAGATATCCAGATATCCAGATCCAGGAGGCACAGAAAGTCCCCAACAAAATCAACCAAAGGAGGTGCACATCAAGACACATAATAATTAAAATGTCAAAAAGTAGTGATAAAGAGAGAACTTTAAATGAAACAGAAAAGAAAAGAGTTACACACAAGGGGAACCCCATAAGGCTATAAGCCGATTGTTCAGCAGAAACTTTATAGGCCAGAAGACAGTGGCATGATATATTCAAAGTGCTGAAAAGAAAAAATGTGCAACCAAGAATACTTTACCCAGCAAGGATATCATTCAGAATAGAAGGAGAGGTAGTTTTCCAAACAAAACTTAAAGGTGTTCACCATAACTAAACCAGCCTTACAAGAAACATTAAAGGGAATTCTCTGAATGGAAAGAAAAGGCCATTATCAGGAAAGAAAATTGTGAAAGGAAAAATTTCACAGGTAAATACCAACATAATAAAAGTAGTTGATTAATCAGTTATAAAACCAGTATGGAGATTAAAGCACAAAAGCAGTAAAATCAATATTATCAATAAAAAATCAGGGAAAGGTTTTATAAAATCAAAGGATGTAAAGTATGATATCATATAGCTAAAACATGAGGGGAGGAATAAAAATTTAGTGCTTTTAAAATGGCTTCAAACTTAAGCAAACATCAACTTAATATAGATTGCCATGTGCATGTTATGTATGAACCTAACAGTAACCACAAATGAAACATCTGTAATAGATATGCAAAAAATAAAGAGAAAAGAATCTAAGCACATCACTAAAGAAAGCCACCAAACCACAAGAGAAGAGAGCAAGACAAGAAAGGAACAGAGAAGGGGTGCCTGAGTGGCTCAGTTTGTTAAGC